TTCTGATTGAAGCCGGTGTTAAGGCGGCTGTCTGAGGGCAGAGCGGAGCTGCTCCACCTCCGCTCGGCGTCGGACGGCAGCGGCATGGCGCTCCGGGGAGCCTGCCTGCTCCTCTGCCTCCTCTCCCTCGCCCAGGTCTCCGGCCAGCAAAACGCCAAAGCCCGGCAAAAGCCGGTGCCTTCCAAGAAAGGTAAGGAGCGGTGGCGAGGAAACCTGGCAGGGCTTGCGGGGGGATGCAATCACCCTGGTCATTTGGGCTTTTAACGGTGCTTTAATGCAACTTTTTTAAAAGCATCTAAAAACCTAGTAAAGTCTATTTTTTCCCTCCTTGTGGGAATGATTGCATAGCCCTTCTGTAAAATAGTGAGGAAACTGAAATGGTTTTGATGGATTCCTACCTTGATTAGATCTGATGGGACAGCTTGGTCTGAACTTCAGAGGGCAACATATTTTTCCATGTTATCGCTAAGGTTTGCCCCAAACTTTTCCTCTACTAAAATTTCTGTTTCTATGACCCCTACCCCTCCTCATTCATTTTTCAGAATCAGAAAATGGAGATGACTTACTGCTGTTGTAGATTTGGAGACAAGAGTAGGCAGATAATATATAATCCATTAAATATCAACATGGATCTTCATTTTAAAACACTTGCCCCGGGTGTATGTCAAGCCATACACGAGCTCCAACTGCTCAGGCATACAAGAGGGCAATGCACACAAAAGGATGCCTAAGGTATTTTTTCCTCAGTGGGTTTTTTTTTTTTTTTTTCCCATTTCTTCTCTTTTTTTTGCTACTGTCCCATCCTTTCTCCCGCTGACTTGATGCACATTAATTATCGGAGAAGGCAGGTAAGGAAGCGGCTTGCGTTGCAGCCCAGCGGTGTGTGAGCCTGCCTGATGTGTCCGACTGCTGTCGCGTGGGCTTGGACCGCTTCTGGCGGGTGCTTGGCTGCTTGGAACGAAGCGGGGAGCGAGGAAGAAGCATCCCAGGAATTCGCTTGGCCAGGCTGCTCTCTATGCTTGCCCGGTGGCTATTTTGGTCTGATCCCAATCTTGAGAAATTTTTCCTTTTTTTCCCATTAGATCCTTCTATGAAATCACTGCATAGCTGCTTGTTCTGTGTCTGTGGTTGTTTTCTAGAACAAAAATACCTCCTCAGGCTGGTAGAGGGTACACATGTGCCTTGCATTTACTGGATGTACTAGGAGAGAGAAATGAGTTTCTTAGAGAAATCTTATTTTTCTCTCCGTGTCACTGGAACTGCTGTTTGTAACCCATTGGTGACAAGCAGGTGAGAGAAAAATCAGGTGGTGGGAGAAAAGTCAGGTGGTGAGAGAAAAATCACCTTTTTGACAGGAAAATTGGGCTCTGATTTAACCACATTTTTCAGACAGGAGAGGGCAACATATTTTTTCTGAAAATCAAGCCATCTGAAACAGCTGGTGGCAATTTTTCCCAACAGCTTCAGGGTTTCTTTTCAAAGGAGAGGTCAAGTTTTCTTTGGGGAAAAGAAAAAAAAACAAAACCAAATTTGGTGTTTTTTGGCTGGCCACATCCAGCCCCACAGTGGGTCAACTGCCCTGCCTTTACTGGAAACTTCCAGCATTTCTTGGTTAACTTTTTCCTGATTTTTACCAACACCAGGGGTGGGGAAAGAGGGAGGAAAGTGCTAAAAATCTCCCGTGAGGTTCCTCTTTGCCCCCAGCCCCTCGCCACGTCCAAGCCTGCCTGCCCACCCACCGCAGGGGCCAGGGCAGGATGGCCGGCCCCATCCCATCCCATCCCATCCCATCCCATCCCCTCCCCATCCCAGGCCCCCAGCGCCCCGCCATCCCGGCTCACCCCCTGCCCTTTGCCGGGGAGGGTCAGGCAGGGTGAAGCCACTGGAGGGTTGGGGTGTTTGGCTGGATGGTTTTTTTTTAATCTGCACAGCCAAACCACAAATGTTAGAAAAGAAAATGATGAGTCAAGCCAAGCTTTTTCTCTTTTTTTTTTCCCTTTTATCTGTTTTTTTTTTCTTTTGTTTTTTCTTCTTCTTTCTTGTAATTATTGCTTACATTTGGATCTGCTTCAGAACAAAAATGGTCCTCTTTCAACATGAAAAAGCCAAACCATAGCATTTAGAAAATGCTGAGATAGCACATTTGCTTTGCCTGCTGTTGGGTTTTTTCCCCCTCACATTGCTCCCCAGTGATTCTCCCAGACACAGCGGTTCCGCAAA